GCCATGTGGTGTCACAGCTCACAGCAACCTCCAACTCCTGGGCTTAGGCGATTCTCTTGCCTCAGCCTCCCAAGTAGCTGGGACTACAGGCGCCCGCTATAACACCCAGCTATTTTTTTGTTTTGCAGTTTGGCCGGGGCTGGGTTCAAACCCGCTACCCTTGGTATATGGGCCTGGTGCCTTACCCACTGAGCCACAGGCACCACCCTCATCTCAGTCTTAAAACTGAAAGTTTTGTATCCTGGGAACCTTTCTTCTAGGCAAACCAGGATAGTTGGTCACCTTACTCCCTGTCCAGCCTGGCCTTGCTGCTATGTCCCAGGCCAGGTGTTGTCCCATAGTGGATGAAGAGGCCAGGCCCAGGGCCTTCTGAAATCCCACCCTGCTGGCTTCACCCCTGTTCTACTGCTCCCTAGCTCCCTCCCTTGCTGTACAGGGCCAAGGGCCCTGAAACAGGTGTGGCTCTCACTTTCCAGCTTCCAAGGCCTGCAGCTCCCAGTGCAGAAGGTCTGGTTCTGCCACCATCTCTGCTGAGACCAGGCCAAAGGCCAGCTTTCCCCCACCCTACCCAGGGACAAGACTGTCTTCTTCCAGGATTGCTCCCAGCTGGCCTGCTAGAGGCTGAAGTCCCACCTCCCCAGGCACCTGGAGGTCTGTTAGACTGCAGAGACATACCTGGGCTGTAGGAACTGACTCAACAACCTGAGAGGGGCTGGGAGGGTGGTTTCGCAGAGCCAAGTGGGAACACATATGAGGGCTATGAGGAGTGAAGGTCCCAGGGTGCCACATGTCTACCAGGCCTGGCCTGTGTGCTCCCCAGAAGCCCCCACCTCCTGGTTTACCTGATTGAGGCTATCACCCCTGTGGTGGGAGAGGAGGCAGAACTCAGGCTGCTCAAATCTAGCACGTTCAGCCTCTTTGGCCCAGAGAGTTCAGACCTTGCTGTGGGACCCTGGGCTTATTGCCTCTCAGCTCCAGCTCACAGACTGAGCTTGGGGTGGTGGCCATGGGAGGCTAGCAAGTCCCACCAGCCCACATAGAAGGCATTCATTCTGCCTATGCCCTCATCTACAGTCTAAAAAGTGGATGATTTTACTCTGGAAAGAAGTTGCAAAAAAATTCATCTTCAGTATAGAGGCTTGGGGTGGGCAGATTGCTAAGACAGGTAAGCCACAGAGCAGGAGGGGTTTGGCCTCATGGGACATAGTCCTTAGAGAAAAAAAAGAATAGTCACATGGGGCTGGATGCAGTGAGGAGCTGAGCCAGGGGCTTTGAAGCCATTAAGAACGGGGCAGAATGGCCGGCGCCTGTGGTTCAGTGAGTAGGGCGCTGACCCCATATACTGAGGGTGGTGGGTTCAAACCCAGCCCCGGCCAAACTTCAACAACAAAAAAATAGCCGGGCATTGTAGTGGGCGCCTGTAGTCCCAGCTACTTGGCAGGCTGAGGCAAGAGAATCACCTAAGCCCAGGAGTTAGAGGTTTCTGTGAGCTGTTACACCACAGCAGTCTACCGAGGGCAATAAAGTGAGACTCTGTCTCTAAAAAAAAAAAAAAAAAAAGAATGGGGCAGATGACGGGGCCCGGTGGGCCTGTAATCCTAGCATACTGAGAGGCTGAAGTGGGTGGGTTGCTTGGGCTCAGGAGTTCCAGACCAGCCTGAGCAAAAGCAAGAGCAAGACCCTGTGTCTAAAAACTAGGCAGGCATGATGGTGGGCACCTGTAGTCCCGGCTACTTGATAGGCTGAGGCAAGAAGATTGCTTGAGCCCAAGAGTTTCACGTTGCTGTGAGCTATGAGGCCACATCACTTTACTGAGGGCCACAAAATGAGACTCTGTCTTTAAAAACAACAGACAGGCTCGGTGCCT